AGCCTTGTTCTTTGACAATGCCTCAGTACACCATGCACTTTTTCCTTCAGGGCCATTGGCTCTTGATCATATGCTGCCTCTTGGCAATGGTTGAATATTGACCATTTGTTTTTGGTACGATGACTGCATATTCCTTCCATCTTTTTTTTTTTTAATGCTTTCTGTATCATTCAATATTTTGCCTATAGAATTTATCCTCCAATAATGGAAGTTGAGGCTTGAAATTTTTCTTCAGTTGGCTCAACCTTGAGAAATGCTGAGCGTGTCCTTCCCTTTTGTTTTTGTAACTCAAGTTCTTTGCACATTTCATTGTAATATTTGACTTTGTTTTCTTGAGTTGCCCTTTGAAATTTTATATTCAGCTCTTGTACCTCCTCATTTCTTCCATTTACATTAGCATTCCTACACTGGAGAGCAAGTTTGAGAGTCTCTTCTGACTTCCAATTTGGTCTTTTTCTTCTTTGTTGTCATCATTAATGATCTTTTGCTTTCTTCCTGTATGATGTTTTTGATGTTATCCCACAATTCTTCTGGTCTATGGTCATTAGGTTCTAATTAAACAAATCTGTCCTTAAGATGATCTCTAAATACAGCTGTGATATATTCAAGGTCATATTTTGGCTCTCGTGGACTTGTTGCAATTTTCTTCAGTTTCAGCCTGAACTTGTGTATGAGCAATTGATGCTCTGTTTTACAATCTGCCACTGGCCTTGTGGTGACTAATGATATGGAGCTTTTCCACCGTCTCTTTCCATTGATGTAGTCAGTTTGATTTCTGTGTATATCATCTGCTTGGGTCTATGTGTATGTCTTTTATGCTGTTTAAAAAAGATATTTACAATGAACAAGTCATTTGTCTTGCAAAATTCCATCATGGGATTTTCAGCATCGTTTCTATCAACAAGGCCATATTTTCCAACAGCTGATCCTTCCTCTTTGTTTTCAAACTTTGCATTCCAATTGCCAGTAGTTATCAATACATCTTTATTGAATGTTTGATCAATTTCAGATTATGGTGGAATTCTTCAGTTTCATCATCATAGGCTTCAGTGGTTGGTGCAGATATTAGAATACTTGTGGTATTAACTGGGCTTCTGTGTAGGTGCATGGGTATTATGCTGTCAAAGACAGTGTTATACTTCAAGATAGATCTTGAAATATATATATATATATTTATTATAAATATGGTGCCATTCCTCTTCAAATGGTCATTCTTGGCATAGTAAATGATGTGAGATTACCAGATTCAAAATGACCAATATCAGTCCATTTCAGCTCACTAATACCTAGGCTATTGATGTTTATGCATTCTATTTCATTTTTGACAACATCCAGTTTTCCTAGATTCATTCTTTGTACATTCTTTGTTATGATTATTAATAGATGTTTACAGAGGTTTCTCCTCATTTTGAGTTGTGCCCTGTCAGCAACTGAAGGTCCCAAAAGCTTTACTCCATTCACGTCATCATGAGGAGGCAGCTCTTCCCCAGTCGTATTTTGAGTACCTTCTAAGCTAAGGGGTTCATATTCCGGCACTACATCTTACAATAGTCTGGTGCTCTTCATCATGTTTTAGTATTCAGTATTCTGGTGCTGACAGTGTTCCACTGCTACTCATAAGGTTTTCAGTGACTGAATATTTGAAAGTAGTCTGTAGCTCCTTCTTCTTAGTCTGTCTTAGTCAGGAAACTCATCTGGAAGCTGTCCACCATAGGTGACCATGCTGATATTTTAAATACCGGGAGCATAACTTCCAGAATCACAGCCACACTCAGGCCAACACAGTGTGGCAAGCTGACAGACGAGTGATTGTTAGTACAGTTTAAAGTCTGCGAAAAGGAGAAAGCCCTTCAATGAGATTGATTGCCATAGTGACAGAAACAATGAGTTAAAACATGAGAGAAATTGTGAGAAGGGTGTAGGACTGGACAGTGAGTGTTTCATTCTGTTGTACATGAGCTGGAACTGACCGATGGCACCTAACAACAACAACAATATCATTTTTTTAATTTTCATGATCAAAATTACCTATCCCAGATTTGGCCAATGCGAGCCTCATTTGGTGGGCTCCAAGGCCACTTGATATATTCCTATATTTCTTCATATGCTTCCTTATGGTTCAGTGTGATGTAGCTAAACCTTGTCGTTTCCCTGCACTAGCCCTAGAACCAGCCATTTTCCCAAGGAGACATGTCTCCTTTCAGGGATGAATGGTATTTAGAAACCAAGAGTTTGGTACCTTGAGACAATTTCTCAGAGCCCTCTCAATATCTGTATATTGGAGAGCAGTTTTGAAAGCTTGTTTAAATACTCAGTGATTCATTTATAGTGTAATAGAATAAGCATTCTTCCCTTAGTATCTGAAAGCCTAGGAGTGATTTCACAAATGGTGAAATCGATTTACAATTCTCGGAGCACTTTTTCTATATATACTATTAAGTATTCTACACTGTAATCATTCATGTAATAAAAATCTTGACATAGCTAGGGATGAATGGACTAGAAGGGTTTGTTTTTATGAGTTCCTTGAAAGTATTTGGGGGAAACTGTGATTCACTCAGTCTTTGTGCAATTAAAAAAGTTTGATATAATTGGATCTTTGGGACATTATCCCTGAAGTAGCTAAAGTTTCAACCTTCTGTATAGTACAACTGGTGAACTTTAAATTGTTCAGAGATAACAGGTATTCCCTGAAAGCAACAAATAATTTAAATTTACATTGTACTTCATTTGCTATCTTTTGGCATTTTTAGTTGTGGAGGCAGCAATCAATACTTGTGGAAAAAATGAATTACACTGTTAATTTTTACATAATAATATTTAACAGTTAAAAATTGAATGCATTTATTCTCTTTCTTGGACAGAATTAACTTATTAAATACCTTATAAAACACTTTTACTTGGAGCTGGTGATAGGAAATTTAGACACCTGGGTCAATTTTTCTTGGCTACTGTTTTTAAACAATAGAAAATATCAAAGCCTGGGTGATAGGGTTGATTTTAATGTTTTAAAAAGTTTTCTTTGTTATTCTTAATGGTAGTTCTTCATCATGTAGTATGAAAATAATATTGTATAGTAACGTGATGCTTTCATAAAAGACACTTTGTTAAATGTAAAATCTGGCAGAGAAATCCATAAGGAACAATCTTGTTAAGTGCCATTGAGTCAATTCTGACTCATAGCAACCCTGTATAGGGTTTCGGAGGAGCAGCTGGTGCAATCTACTGACTGAAAAATGAGGAAGAATCAACTATCTTGATGACAGACCAGGAGAGCTCTTGGGAAGAAATGAAAAATCTCTGCATGCTCATTTACTACATAGAGAACTAACTAATGGTGACAAATACTCCCAAGATTACTGAAAGAATATTCAGTGTTACTGATACTGTTAGGATCTACATTGTAAGCTGCTTGGGAGCTGATGACTAAAACGGGAAAGAAATTGAGAGACTTGGTAATAGGCTGATGTGACATTCAGTAGAGGGAGAAGACAAAGATAATAAAGTGATACAGTTTGGAAAATGATATGTCCCTTTGTTGGGGCCCAATATTAGATATTGTTCACAACGTTACTGTTCTCATCACCACCATGTATGCTAGCTTTTTAAATATGGTGAAGTGGGAGATGGATGATAAGACTGAAATTGAGGATCTGAGAAAGGAGGCCAGAATTAAGACAGAGAAGAAGGAAACACTGTGATTGAAACCACATAACTGAAGAATTTCCTTTTTCCAGAAACAGTAAAAGCAGAGGGCAGTTTGCACATTTAGCATAGCAATGAAGGGGTTTTTAAGAACGTGAACATACAAATAGAAAAATTAAAGAGCCATCAGAGGAAAAACAAAATAAAACAAAAAACTAAAAAAGAGATTGAAAGTGATAAAGAGCAATGTGAGTGTAGAACCATGGTAAGTTTACTATAATAATTTTTGTTGATAATGTGAAATGTAAAATAACAACAACAACTAAACCAAAATCTAAAGTCCCTTGCTTATTGTTTATAAGTTAATCTGCAGTCTTAGCTTCAAAGAAATCTTATGGTAATTTTCTAAGGGAGTTTATTTTCTGTATTTCCTGGATATGAGTTTTCATGTAAATCATGAGTGTTGCCTAGGTATAATTTTTAGAACTGTACACACACTTGCAAAAGCATGGGCCTCAATACTGAATGAAATGCTACAGTAGATGTACCAGAGAAGCGAGTCACTCTGTGTGGTTTACAACCTGGCTCTTCAATATAATCTTCAGTGCTTCAAGCAAGGCCATCAGTTTTTTAAAAAGTATACTGACTTCCAGGTTGTTAACTGGAGAAGACAGAGTTCATTTAGACCCTGTACTTGGTTTGTTGTTCTTAAGTGCTGTCGAGTTTGTTCCCACTCATAGTGAATCTCTATAGTATTTCCGAGGAGTTGCTGGTGGGTTTGAACTGCAGACCTTTGGGTTCAAACCAACCTTGTGTTCCAGTGCTTATCCTACAGTGCCACAGCAGGACTCCCAGAACTTCATAGGTGCGGTGTTAAATTTCATTTATTTGTTTCTTTCAACATTCCTCTTTTTCTTTCAATGAAGATTAATATTGGTTATTGTTGGCTTAATTACATGCCTTATTTTCTCATCTGTGTTTAATAATGTATTTCTGTTCATTCATACTTTTTTCTCATCCAGTCACTTTCAAATCTTTATTGAAAATCAACTGTGTGCTAACTATAGGATATTGGGTTTAGGGTCACATATAAAATATGTTTATTCTTGTTTTCAGATTTAGAGTCTTCTAAATTTCATTGTGAAAGAGTCAACTTTTTATGTAGGTCAAAACTGCTTTTTTCCCTTAGATTAATAAATACACTATCCTATGATTTCCTGTGGTAACATGTTTATAATAAGAAAAATAAGTTTGAGATGAATAGTGTTAGCATTTTTCTTATTGAATGAACATTACAGTCGTCTCTCTCTTTATGTCCTCAGATGAAATGAAGAGAATAATACTATGAGAAAGGGATGAAAGGAGACAACCTCACCATTTGGAACTTCTTTTTCCTGGAGGGGTTTTCTAGATACCCAAAGTTAGAGATTGTTCTCTTTGTCTTCAGTCTTGTAATGTATCTGATAACCCTCTTGGGTAACAGCACTCTTATTCTGATCACTATCCTAGATTCACGCCTTCATACTCCCATGTACTTGTTCCTTGGCAATCTCTCTTTCATGGATATTTGTTACACATCTGCTTCGATTCCCACTTTGCTAGTGAACTTGCTGTCATCCCAGAAAACAATTATCTTTCCTGGGTGTGTTGTACAGATGTATCTGTCCCTTGCCATGGGTTCCACGGAGTGTGTGCTCCTGGCTGTGATGGCATATGACCGTTACGTGGCCATTTGCAATCCTCTGAGATACCCCATCATCATGAGTAGGCAGGTGTGTGTGCGGCTGGCCTCTGTCTCCTGGCTGACAGGCTGTCTGACTGCTCTGGTGGAAACCAGTTTTGCCCTGCAGGTGCCCCTCTGTGGGAATCTCATTGATCACTTCACTTGTGAAATTCTGGCCGTGCTAAAGTTAGCTTGCACGCGTTCATTGCTCATGGACATGATCATGTTAGTGATTAGTGTTCTGCTTCTGCCCATTCCAATGCTCTTAATTTGCATTTCTTATGTCTTCATCCTGTCCACTATTCTGAGAATTAGCTCAGCAGAGGGAAGAAGCAAAGCTTTTTCTACCTGTGGTGCCCACTTGACTGTGGTGATTTTGTATTATGGGGCTGCCCTCTCCATGTACCTAAAACCTTCTTCATCAAACTCACAAGAAATAGACAAAATCATCTCATTGCTTTATGGAGTGCTGACCCCCATGTTGAACCCCATAATTTACAGTTTAAGAAACAAGGAAGTCAAAGATGCTGTGAAAAAGCTGGTGGACACATTGTCTTCGTATCAAACACATGGCAGTTTCTGACCAGGTGCCTTTTACCAGAGATATGATCCTGAGAGAACTGATCAGAGAAATTCTAGATGCATTACTGACTCTTCAGAGTCTGGTTTGAACCTTAGCTGTACAATTTCATAATTCTGAGATACGTGTGCCCTGAATGACTTTTGTTTGTAGACAATGATAGATTCTAATTCGCATATATTAATACTTTCTGTTTTGTGCATGCATTTAATGTTTGTGAGATTACTGGACTAAATAGGCATTGTATGTTTACTCTAAAATAAATTTGGATACTTTTAGAGTTAGTATTAGTGCTAAAGGAGACCTGGACATCTTCTCTGCTTTAAATCCTTTCTGGATTGAGATGGCAGCATAATGAAACAAAGAATAGGGTTTCCCAGATTACACAAATGAGAAACCAGACTAAAAGAAAGATTAAAAAGTTTGTTCAACCTTACACACTTGTAGAACTGAGATTCCCACCTGTATACCAATTCATTTCTTATTTTCTACACTGGACGATGGACTTCATGAGGCCAAGGAATTTTATTTATTTTATGCTATAAAATAGATTAATAAATTTATCAGTTTTAAATCAATCACCTTATTTGAGACATCTGTACCAAATGATGTCTATTGCTTTATAACTATCCAACAATTACAGAGACCATATTTATATTTAGTTGTTTTTAAATTTTGATTTGTAAAAATAGTTTATTTGTTAAAACTGTAGATTCTAAGCCTTTACTCCCAGAGATTCTGATTCAGTGGCTCTGAAGTGGTAACCATGAATTTGCATTTAGAATTGAGCCCACCTCCCCCCAAGAAATTCTGATAAGTTTTGTGAGTTGACCACACTTTGAGAAACATCATTTCCAATGAAAAGTTACCACCCTGAAAGAAAGGAACATTAGTTCTCCTTTCTCCTTTTTGCCTTTTTTATTTTCCTCTTCGTTCTTTCTGCTCTCACCTGTCTACTTCCACTCCCAGAGGAAGGGAGAGGCTTTGAGTGGAGAAAGGTAAATATATTTGACAAATTTCAAAATATGAAAAACTTGAGAAGGATGTTGAGTTTTGGATCATTTAACTCCTAGACTCTTAATGATTTATAACTCTTGTTAGGAGATGTCAAGTTGATTCTGACTCAAAGCGATCCTATACTCCACAGAAGGAAACACTAACTGATCATTACTGCGTCACCATGTTGTTAGATGCAGGATTTTCATTGCAAATTGCTGGATGTGTAACCCACATTTGAAGAAGCTTAAAATCATCACAGAGTAAATTTTTGTTGGTGGAGGAAGGAGACACATTTGAGGCCTTGATATTGCTGCCAAGAGACTCTTGTTTAAAGGAGATGGATACAAACTTGAGTAAATGTCTTTAAAGTAGACAGAAGACTTGACCAGGAAGCAATCATCATCGAAGAAATATTTTTTTTCTTAGATCGCTAACTTTCCCAACCTGACTGTCATCATCATTCTGAGTGATCTATAATAGGATTTTATCCCATGCTAACATAAAATTCAGAGTAGAGCAGCCTTTAACTGTACTCTGACTTTTATGTTAGCATGAAACGAAATTGTCTGCATGATGGAACTTTCTAGCATATGGATGGTATCAAGCATAAACAGGAATGATTAGAGCTATCGAAATAACTAAAATCTTTACTTCAAAGAGTGAATTGAAGACAGAAATTGATTATCTTAATTAGTGTAACAGTTTGACACAGGGAACTAATCAGACAAGGTAACAAGAGTTTCTGAATGGGATATTGACCAGAATGGGACAGCAAGGAAACTAGAAGTGACCCAGATATCAGAGGATGACCTTGAACAGAGCTCTGGCAGGTCTTGACTAAAAGAGCAGACCGGTGGTGGTGGCTGTGTGCCGTGGAGTCATTTCTGACTCATAGCGACCCTGTACAGGGTTTCTAAGACTGTAAATCTTTATGGGAGCAGAAAGCCTCATCTTTCTCCTGCGGAACAGCTGGTAGTTTCGAACTGCTGACCTTGAGGTTTGCAGCTTGATTAGTAACCACTATGCTACCAGAGTTCTCCCAAGTAGTTATGCAATATGCTTTTATAAAATCACTATGGATAGCCAACAAACATTTTTAGATATAAAGGCATTTTATATAGTATATGGCAATATGGAGTCCTGGTGTGATGCTGTGGGTTAATACGCTGGACTGGTAATTTGGTTTTAACTACAAAGTCTGTGGTTCAAGCTCACCAGCTGCTCCTCGGAAACCCTATATAGGGTCGCTATGAGTTAAAGTCGACTTGACAGAACTTAAGAACAACAACATGGAAATATGAAGGTTAATTATTGGTTCTGGGTGCATTATTCCATTTGGATTAGGTTCTGTTTCAATTTTATAAGTCTCAGGTAAGAGATCTTTTTAAGTATTGGTAAAGAAGGAAATATATTGGACAGTGAGAGTAAACTCCCTGATAGAAAGCCAATTCCTGTGTAGATATTTACATGATCAGGCCTAAAGTTTAGAAAAATCTGATTGTATCATTTCCCTTCTTAAATCTCCAGTAGTTTCTCTTATCCTAAAGCTTAAATCCATTAAGACATGCAATGACTGTTATAATCTAATTATATCTTTTATATTAGGCACACCAATTCCTTCTTAGTTCCATGAATGTGCTTTGCTCTTTTTATGTATGAAGAATATTTATCACAATTTATAATTCATTAACATTTTGTGGGCTTTGTTTAGTGTTGGTCTGATTCACTAGTCTGTAAGTTCATTAAGGCAAGGACTATTTCAGTTTTATTTGCTGCAGTTTACCCAGGATTTAGTGCATTATCTGTCATAGAGTAGACCATCAGCACATACTGCTGTGAAGGATCAGGTGCTCAATGAATATGTGTTGAATGAAAGCATGTATGTTGTTGTTGTTGTTAGGTGCCATTGAGTAGGAACCGACTCTTAGCACAGCAGAACGAAACAATGACCGATCCTTGGCCAACCTCCCTACTGTTGCCACACTTAAGTCCATCAATGCTGCCACCTGGCCAGTCAATCTCGTTGGGGGTCTTCCTCTCTTTCTCTGACCCTCCATCTTACAAAGCATGATATCCTTCTCCAGCGACTGAACCCTCCTGACAATATGTCCAAAGTATGAGAGACGAAGTTTGACCATCTTGGCCTCTAATGAGCACTCTGGCTGCACTTCTTCCAAAACAGATCCATTGGTTCTTTTGTCAGTCCATGGCATTTTTAGTATTCTCCTCCAACACCATAATTCAAAGGCATGGATTTTTCTATGATCTTCCTTATTCACTGTCCAGCGTTTGCATCCATATGAGGTTATTGAAAATACCATGGCTTGGGTCAGGCACATCTTACTCCTCAAGTTGACATATTTGCTCTTCAACACTTAAAAAAGTTCCTGTGCAGTAGATTTGCCTAATACAATACGTCATCTGATCTCTTGACTGCTGCTTCCATGAGTGTTGATAGTTGATCCAAGAAGAATGAGGTCTTTGACAACTTCAATCTTTTCTCCGGTGATAAGAATGTTGGTTATTTGTCCAGCGGTGAGGATTTTTGTTTTCTTTACATTGAGATTTAATCCATACCAAAGGCTGTGCTCTTTGATCTTTATCAGTAAATGTTTTAAGTTCTCTTCACTTTCAGCAAGCAAGGTTGTATCATCTGCATATTGCAGGTTGTTAATGAGTCTTCCTCCAAACGTGATGCCATGTTTTTCTTCATAGAACTCAGCTTCTCGTATTATTTGCTCAGCATACAGGTTGAATAAATATGGTGAAAGAATACAACCTTGTCGCACACCTTTCTTAATTTTAAAACATTCAGTGTATGTATGCAATGAAAATTTAATGACTATTCAGCTAGGTACTTGACCATTCCTGTATTGTGTACTTGCCTTTGTTAGTAGTTGTGAGGTGGTGATGGAGGTGGTGAGGATGTCTACCCAGAATTAAACACAAGACCAATACTATTTCATAAAAAAAGTATTTGTCTAACTTACAACTTAAGTAATTGCACAGTTCTTTTCTTCACGATACCAGTGGCACTTCAAGATGCAACAGAAGTGCACGCTTCCCATTTTGTCACAGGGAATATTCAAGAAAACATGGGCTCAACGGTCAAGATTTAACAAAATTAATATTTTTAAAGTATTCTTAAGTGAAACTGTCATTTTTTTCTATGAGTACATTGTGCTAAAAAAAAAATATATATATATATTACTTGTGTCAGATGACCTAATAAGCAAGGTAAGCATGTGCTTGCTTGTGCTCAGTTACTAATACATAGTGAGCGAACAATTTCACATTTATTCAACAAAGATTCTACTTCCTAGTAAAACTGGCATGTCTCTCTCTCAATCCCAAGCACGTTTTGAAGGAATCAAAGCTTCTTTTCAAATTTACAGTCTCTGACAGGGACAGAATATCCAGTAAGCAAAGTAAGCATGGGCTTGCTTACTAATCTGTAGTGAATAGTTTCACATGGGATCTGTGGTGAAAATCATGCAAAACTGTTCATTACAGAATAATAAGTAAGCACAAATAAACCCATGCTTACTTTGCTTATTGGATAATTGGCCCCTGATGATTACTAATATAGTTAGATGCCAGTGCTTTTATTGTTGCTAAAGTCCTGGTGTGTTGCTGTGGGTTAATGCACTGGACTGCAAAATCAGTTTAAACTGCAAAGTTGGCAGTCCAAGCTCAACAGTTGCTCCTTGGAAATCCTATACAGGGTCGCTATGGGTCAGAACCGACTTGATGGCATTGAACTATAACAACAGCATAGTACCAACGATTTTATACACTGTGACGACTAATTATATCTGTCAACTTGCCTAGGTTAGGGTGCCTAATTGTTTGGTCAACTGCTAGTTTAGATGTTGCTAGGAAGGTATTGGGGTTCTTGGTGGCAAGTGGGTTACATGTTGGGTTGTTAAGCACAGGCTCAGCGGTTCTAATCCATCACCTACTCTGCAGGAGAAAGATGAGGCTTTTTGCTGCTGTAGAGATTT